AGGAGAAAAGGGTGGCGTTGTACCCTCCTAATTTAACCCTCTAGGGTCAGGAAGCAGAGGGAGGAATCCAAACCAAGCCGTTGTACCGTCTCGGGTACAGAGCAAGGCGTCTCGTTTTTTACTTCCCTCCCTGCGAGGCTTTGGAGGGCTGGTCAAGCTCCGACTCCGACCCGAAAGCCCCAGCGCCAACCCCGAGCGCGCTGGAGTAGTGTTCCCACCGACAGCACGTTTGTTTGTCCTGATAGCGTCAGGCACTTCATCCGCTCAGGGCCCTTTTCTGGTTGAAGCAGCAACAGCAAGGGCGGTTAAGTTGAGGCGTTGACTCCTATCAAAGCCTAGAGTCCTGAAGTAGATTCCCTGAACAGGAGCCCTGATCTCTGTGATGCGTTGGGTAGCCACACGGAAGCATCCTCTGACCTCGATAGGGCAAAGAGTGGCAAGAAGGAAAAACACAGTGACCTGGTCAAGCAGCTTCTCCGATCCGAGGGCCAAAAGGGACATGCGCCTTGGCTCTGCTCTGCTCTTGCCTGCAACTGAGGAATAAAGGTCTTGGGAGCGTCAATATACGCTAGCTTTGGCCAAGTCGAAGCTACCTGGACTGTGCTTGGATAGTCAGGGCGGCTCTGCGTCCAACTGTGCCACTGCTTGGCCACTCTATTCTGCTGCACAGGTAGAGTCCCCCCTCCAGACCCTCCTGGAGATCAATCCTATACTTAGCCCTCCTGCAGGGAAGTGCGCCTTTACAGTGTCAGATGGGACCATAGTGACACTTTCGGGTTTCCATCTCGGCCCCCAGTCAAAACGAGAGTCACATAGCCCTGAATGGGGAATAACAGCCGGAAGCCGTGTGGTGCACGACCCGCCGCTGCTCATTGAGCTTCCACCCCACAACAGCTTGCAAATTGAATTCTAGGTCCTAACCTGAAGCGCGGGAAAGGGATCAGGCACAGTTTGCTGCAGTCACATTGCTGGGCCCCACTTTCGGCTTCTTTCTGGAACAAAATGGGCCTTCTACTTGGCAGAGAAGGGAACTCCTTTATGTAGTGTGGGCAGGCACAAACGCTGAAGCGTCCAGGGCCCTCCTTGGTATCAAACAAGTAAAACCCTAAAATGCAGAGCAAGGGTTTTCCCCAGGGGTGGATGGACAAGGGTTAGTCTTAAAGCCCAGCAAACGCTGTAATAGCAACCTGTATCCTCTTACCTCCACCCAGACCAGGATTAACTATCTGAAAAGAGCTGGAGTAGATGACCTTCAGCTGAAGTTCCCTGAAAAGCCTCTACAAACCTAAGCATCCAGGAAATCGAGATTATGTTGCATTCATCTGTGAAGGGCCATGACGACCTTTTAGAAATAGGACTGCATAAAATGAGGATATGGGAGAAAGCAAATGCAAGTCGTATTATTTAAAGATGATTTTCTAAATCAAGCTGTTACATAGTGAAGTACTGGATGTTGGCTCCAGCCCTAAGGCCTATTTCCTTCAGTTCCTGAACATTTCTAACACATGTAGATCCTTTAAACTGTGTGTGTGTCTGTGTGTGGGTGTGTGGTGTGATACAAATTTCAGTCGAAATTTTTGTAATTTTTAAGTATGTATTGAGCACCTCTTAGAGATGGCAACAGCCTGGCGAGCAAACACTTTTGTCTTTGCGTTCCCAGACCAGAGCTCTTAGTAGGCACTCAATAAATTCTGTGAAATAAATTAATGGTAAATCCAATCATGCTTAACACACTGAAATAATATGCCCCTCTCCAGAAGAATGTGAAAAATAAATACTTTTATTTGTCACAGTAAATTATGTTTTGGGTTTCTGTTCAATAATGTTTTCCCAGTTATTAACATTTTCCTGGCCATCTCCTTCAAAAAATACTTACCTTATAAAGTCATTAGTTCATTTGCTATATTAAGAAATTTTTAAATTATATACTTTTGATAATGAGCCAGATTTTCCAAGGGCCTAAAAAACCCTTGGCTTACAAGTGAATGCACCTTTAGAAGCCATGTTAATTAGGACCAATGGAAGACAATTTGAATAAATATGTCCACTAGATATCTATAATTAATATTCCTTTCAAAAATACCTATTTTTGTGACCAAGAATGAACTTGAGTATAATGAGAATGCGCTTAATTATGAATTTTCACCATTTTTGCTTACTGACCTAACTACTCTGTAATGGTTTCTTGGCCTAATTAAGTAGTATTTAATGTTTTCATCAGAATCTGTATGTGATATTAAAATCAAAATCAACAAAACAAACTGCTTGTTTTCTTAATTCCCGATGAAAGCCATTTCTCTAGTCTAGCCATTGAAATTCTAAGTCATTCTATAGAGGACATCAGGGGAAAGAAATCACTGATATTTAAGGGGTTAGCCCTGGTTGGTCACTAAGATGATTTGATTGTTTGGTCCTTTGGTTTAGTTTGGGTTTAGATCTCCAGAGATACTCTTTGCAAATAGCTGCCACACATACACTATATCATGGTTTTTGTCTTACCTCCCATCTAGACCTAAATAATTTGCTGTAAGTAGTTCATTATTCATCAGTATATTAGATTGATGTTTCTATCCTATCTTCTGTGTGCTAGGTGACAGCAACCTGCATCTGTTTTGTCTTAGATTGTAATTTCCTAAAAGACAAGTATTGGGCCTCTGCATAAAATATGAACTGTCAGGCCAGGCGCAGTGGCTGACATCTGTAATCCCAGCACTTTGGGAGCCAAGGCGGGTGGATCACCTGAGGTAAGGAGTTCAAGACCAGCCTGGCCAACATGGTGAAACCCCATCTCTACTAAAAATACAAAAATTATCTGAGCGTGGTGGTGGGCACCTGTAATCGCAGCTACTCAGGAGGCTGAGACAGAAGAATTGCTTGAACCTGGGAGGAGGAGGTTGCAGTGAACAAGGTGGAGCCATTGCACTCCAGCCTGGGTGACAAGAGCAAGACTCCATCTCAAAAAAATAAAAAGTAAAAATAAAATTAAAAAAATAAAATATGAACTGTCAGGAACTAGATGCATTGATGTCTCCTTGGAAACGCTCTGCTTAGTGTCTACTGAATGGTATTCATAGATAAATTGCTTTGATATCTAAGAGCCCAGGTTCCCAGAACTGTAAGAAAACATAAAGATTAACTGATTCAGTGATTTCTAGACTTTGATATTTCAAAATAAATATTAGTTAGTGGGGAGGAGTGGACATATGTTTGTCAAGATTTTGTTTTGTTTTGTTTTTTGAGACAGTCTTGCTCTATCACCCAGGCTGGAGTGCAGTGGCACAATCTCAGCTGACTGCAACCTCTGCCTCCAGGGTTCAAGCAATTCTCCTGCCTCAGCCTCCCAAGTAGCTGGGACTACAAATATACACCACCACGCCCAGCTAATTTTTTGTAGTTTAGTAGAGACGAGGCTTTACCATGTTGCCTAGGCTGGTCTCAAACTCTTGAGCTCAGGTAATCCACCCACCCCAGCCTCCCAAAATGCTGGGATTATAGGCGTGAGCCACCATGCCCAGCCCT